AAATACTCCAACCACAAGCTCCCATTTAGCTGATGCCAAGCAAAACTGTGGAACTGCAAAGTGTGAGTTTACAGAAACTTCTTACCCTTTAGTGATCAGCTCCCTTGGGACTCCGCTTTCCTCCTACTCTTCCCCATCAAAATAGAAATTATCTGAATAATTCACATCATTCATTCATTCATTCATTCATTTTCCTTTTCATCTTCAACAAGCATGTTGAATGCCTTCTCTGGACACGGACACTCTGTGGGGTACTGGTGATGCAAAAGCCAGGAAGGCAAGATTGCAGCCTTGGGGGACCTGGCAGGGCAGGTACCCACACACTTGTGTTGCCTACCAGGCTGTTCCCGCACGGTGTGGCATGAGTCCACGTAGGGCTCTTATTATACTTCTAGGCGCATGACTTTTGATGTGTTACCTGCCAGACCTTGTATTTTTCACATTGTATGAACCAAAAAGTGGCATGAGAGGGATTTTAGGCATCATTATTTAAAGTAGGTGATTTCTGGGGGCAGAGGAACCTCTAAGTCATTAAAGAAAAAGAAAAGAAAAAAAGATGATCAGATGTACTTCTCCCTGAAGACCCTCATCCCTGGAGAATTGACTCAGTGGTTGCTGGAGGCAGAGCGCCTGGGGACTCCCCCACAGGGACAGCACACTCCCTCCCCCATCCCACACAGGCAGGCCCCCTCCCCCATTCCTACATAGAGATCCACAGCTTCTCTCATCTTCCCATCTCCTCCTTACTTTATCCAAAACTCCAACAGCATCTCAGTATTTGATGGCACAATTAAGCTTATTGTTATGTGTGTATAAGTAATGCCTTCCGACCGACCGTAACCATCCGATCCGCCTTTACCTTCTGGTTTCCCTGGCTCGCATTCTCTGTGAATAAAGCCATTACTCACCTGGAGTGAACTTGATTGATTTTCCAAGTACATTCTGAACTGGCTTCCCTAGTATTCAGTGTTGCACACACCCTACCAATCATTTCTTTAAAACACTTGCTTTATTCCTGTTATTATTAAAATCAATGTCTAATGAAGGTTACTAGAGGGGCCATTTTTGCTCATCTGTATTGCTAATAAATAGCAATTTTAATGAATGAGGTGTTTTGTTTTGTTTTGTTTTGTTTTTTAACATGCTTCTTTTACCCCAGGACCCTTTCCTCATTTGGCCAGCTGGACATTCTATGTCATTGCCTCAGAAAAAGAAAACATTCAGAAAGCAGAGAAAGTCGTCTATTCATGGCATTAGAATTTCCAGAGGAAGAGAAAGAATTCAGATATAAACCATAGATTTGGTAGAATACCTGAGGGAAAGCAGCGTGTCCTGCCCACCCCGCCCTTCCAATGATTACATCAAGTTTTCCCAAATCTGAGGGGAAAGGAAGATTGCCAGAGAGAGAGAGAGAGCCAGGAGTCAGAGGCCAGCGTGGTTCCTGGAGAAAGGGGGCCCAGGACTCTCCCCAGCCCAGGGAGGCAACAAGAAGCAGGGAGAAAGGGCCAGGCGTTGTTATAGTACAAAGGTCAGAGGCAGCCTCAGAGTTCATCCAAGCATGAAAATGAGCAGGAGAGCAACTCCCAGGCGCCCCAGGCCAGCCTGCTAGCGTGAAGGACCCTGCAGAGCCCCATGAGGCTCTCCTGCCCCAGGGCGGGTGCGGGCCAGCAGAATAACACCTTGTTTCAAGGTCACCAGAGTTAGTTGAGAGGAAGCCAGACCTGGAGAGCCTCATGGCTGGGAATGAGGCAGGTGTCAGGAGTGACCTTGACGGGGCCATGACTGAAGATCAGAAAGGAATAAGGACCCAGCAGCATGGATAAAGGACTGTCCAGACCACATGGCCCTCCGTCCCCATCCTTAGTGCCACAGAAATTCCTGGACTTTAGAAATTCCTGAAATTCCACTGGAAAATAGCAGAGAGACAAGGGGACACTAATCATTTCCACCACCAGGCAGAAGGGAGTCTCTTAAGTGAAACTAAGTTGTTTTGTACAGCTGAGTTTGTCAATATTCATTCTTGCTATAGCATTTTCTTAATTTTAAAAGATAATATGCTGCCTTGGCCTGTTTGGCTCAGTGGATAGTGTCGGTCTGCAGAGTGAAGGGTCCTAGGGTTTGATTCCAGTCAAGGGCATGTACCTTGGTTGCAGGCTCCTGGCTCTGGTTGGAGGCATGCAGAAGGCAACCAATCAATGTGTCTCTCATATCGGTGTTTCTCTCTGTCTCTCCATCTCCCTTCCACTCTCGTTAAAAATCAATGGGAAAAATGCCCTCGGGTGAGAATTAAAAAAAAAAGATAATATACTAAAGACATCATAATTTTGGACCCTTGGGTGAGAATTTTTAAAAAAAGATAATATACTAAAGACATCATAATTTTGGAAACTCTTACTATTGTTTGTTCCATCAAGGACATTTCTTTAAAGAGGAAACACAGTCCTGGCCAAGTAGCTCAGTGGGTTAGAGCATCATCTGGATACACCAAGATTTCGGATCCCATCTCCGGTCAGGGCACATACAAGAATCAACCATGAATGCATAAGTAAATGGAACAAAAATCAATTTCTCTCTCTCTCTCTCTCTCTCAATCAATCAATAAAAGAAGGAGGCTCACACTTAACTGAGAGTGACTGTAGGGAGAGAGAGACTTGAGGGCAGTTTTCTCTACAAATTTCTATGAAACTCCAGTTTATGCATGGTTATTAAATGGCTGACTACATATGTACAACAACTGACTCTTTAAACATGATACCTTAAACATAATAGTTGTTCAATAAATGTTTGTCGAATGATTAGGGAACTAACATGCTTCCATTTCTAGTGCAATTTTTTTCCCAATAATGAAGCCCCAGGAACCCACCATAATTTTTGTCGTGCACTATGAAACGTAAGTATATGGAATTTCATCATATAAAGTAGGAGAAATTATACCAGCAGAAATATAATTGTCTACAATATACTGTCTGCCATATAAAAGCATAGCCACTTTAATGTTGGATTTGCCCATTTCTCCTTGTAGTTCTGTCAAGTTTTTCTTTACATGTTTTAGGGCTTTGTTTTTAAAGTCATACAAGATTATAATTGCTTTTTATCTTTAAGTCGTAGTCCTCTTTATCAGTAGTAATTCTTTTTCTTAAAGTCGTTTTCCCCTAAATGAACAAAGCAACACCTGCTTTCCTTGAGATTGTATTTGCCTAATTTATCTTTTTATACTCCTTTACTTCCAACCATTCTGTATGTTTGAGGTATGTTCCCTGTAAACTCTATATTTTCTTTTTTCATTTTCTAAAATTCTAAATTGACACTCTTATTCTTTTAGCTGGAGAGTTTGGATCCATTTCCATTTTTCATGACCAATGATATTTTCAAAATTTTATTTTGAAATATGGGTTCAAAGGAAGTTGCAAAGGAATCACTACACATGTTTAAAATTTTTGTCTCTGCTATTTTATTTTATGCTATTTGTCCTCCTTATGCATGTTTTTGAAAATCGTCATTTACATGACATTTACCATGGCTACCCTATGTCAACAAGTACATATGTTTCTGAATTACTGTTAAGGTGCTAATAACACAGTAATTATTATTTTAGGTGGCTACTATTTTGCCAGGTTCAGAGAGTGCCAACTTTCCTGGTTAGGCACTATGTGTTTCTGGGGATCATAACACAAGTTAATTTACTGCTTCAGAAAACACAAAAGTCAAATTAATAAGGAATGACACAACTGTCAAATATGCGGGACTTGAATGGATAAATTGAGCTCCGGAAGAATTTTGAATTACATAACATTATTCAATGTGGCCACTAGAGGGAGATCACATACAGCTATTCTCAAAATAATGGTCTAAGTCTCTAATTTTTATCAAAAACTTGTAAACAGCCCTAGCCGGCGTGGCTCAGTGGATAGAGAGTCAGCCTGCGGATGAAGGGTCCCGGGTTCGGTTTGGGTCAAGGGCAGGAACTCGGTTGCAGGCTCCTCCCCTGTCCGGCCCAGGAGGCAACCAATCCATGTGTCTCTCTCACATCAATGTTTCTCTCTGTCTTTCCCTCTCTCTTCCACTCTCCCTCAAAATCAATGGAAAAATTCCCTCGGGTGAGGATTAAAAAAAAAACCCGTGTAAATAGTACGCAAAACTAGGAAATAAAAACCTCCCTACTTAAAAAAAAAAAAAACATACAATCAACAAACAAGTATAGACGGCCCGGGTGCGGCGGAGGGTCTCCTGCCCGCCATTCCTCTCCGTCCGGTTCTCCCCAGGCTTCTTGAGCGGCGCCGCGGGGCGGGATGCTGCGC